TTTTTTTTTTTTTGGTACTGGGGATCGAACTCGGGTCCTTGCACTTGTGCAGCAGGCGGCGAAAACACTGAGCTAAATCCCCTTCCCCATAATTATTTTTAAAGAATTAATTTTATGAAATTGCCCAAACATAGGAAAGTAGAATGCGAAGAAACTAAATATTTTGATAAATAGATTCAAGAAAAAATTATCTAATTACATATGACTTAGTCTTTTATCTTAGGAAATAGACCAAAAAATGTGAATAATTTGAAGTAAATTAATTTTTATTATTAGAACTATTTCCTTGCAGCAATAGAATAAAAACATCACTATAAATAAATGACTATTCATCATTTTCATGATTATTTTAGTTCATCATGTTTTTCCTTTTCAAAATAATTTTTAATTAGCAAAAATTTTATATATGTATCATATACAACATGATGTATATATTGTATATATTATAGAATGGCCAAACCTAGCCAGTTGACATATATGCATTATCTCACATTCTTACCACTTATTTGTGATGAGAACACTTAAAATCTACTCTCATGTCAACTTAAGTGTACTTAATAAATAATAAATAAGTCTTAATAATTACTAGTTTTAGCATTACTCTCCCTTTGATTTTGTTGCAAAGTAAACTATTATATTGATTCTATTGATATATACTGCTATATTAAGTAACTTACCTTTGAACTCTTCTGCTTTTGGTGGTCCAATATTCCCAGGACCCATGGCTCCAACAGCAGATGAACAATTTGACTGGGAAAGAAAAAATAAAGTTCAACATTCTATAACTACTACTTATAGAATGTATATGATTAATAACACTTTAAATCTGTTAAGCTTTCCATCTAGAAAGCTGATAAAGTTTTCCAGTTTACTCATTGTTGTTATACAGCAGAGAGACAGATCTCAAGTATTATTTTGAATGTGTTTTTCTTGTCCTTTCAAAAAGTATTCAGTTTAATAGACTCTGGGACAGAATTGATTTTTGGTCAGACTAAATCCCCAGTTCCAGCTCAGTGAATCATGTATCCCTGGGGATAAAGGAACGGGACACATTCATCTCTATGAAGGTTAGAACCAAGTGTCAGTAGAAAAGCACTGACAATTTTGGATTTTGGCAGTGTCTGTAATTAGATGGGGGATAGAGGTATGGGAAACTTTTGTAAAAATAAAGAGACTAGTATTCAGACTTCAGAGGATCCGTTTGAAAGCCCTGATAACTGCTTTTATTTCTTTTCACTATGGAGATGAAACATTTTCCTATTCCACTGCCTCATGGCACTTAGTGGATTTATACAGCAACCTCAGACTAACAGTGTCAAATACATGCTGAATCACATCATTCTTCACACAATAAATGTTTACTTTGCTATTGTCTGTACAAGCTTACTCACGCCTGCAAGACTGGCCTTGACTCACCAGTACAAAAACAGTATTCATTTTTCAACTAAATATAACATATTGCATCACTAATGTAGTGGCAGCTACCTCACTGGTCTCTTTCAGGGATTCCTTATATTTCACAAAAATCCCAATTTCTTACAAATTGGTCTTGCTGCTGTCAGCCTCTGCAGATCCAATTCACTCCATCGCTAGCAGCCAAAAAAATTATCTCTTTGGATCTTGGCCAACTAGTATCTCTATTTGTCCTTTCTCAGGCATCTGTCCTCACCTCCTAAGGCTTCAAACATGTACAAAATTTAGGGTGTCTTGTTTGGGCAAGGAGAATAGTGTCTGTTCCTGAAATATGGTGGAAAATCTCACTTGAGTCTTTATTATGCTGTTATTCCAATAGCTATAAATCAGAAATTAATCTACAAAAATTCAACAGTGTTTGAAACAGCAACTATTCCTTTTCAAAAAAAAGGAGATTCAAAAGTTCTATGTCTGTGGTTAAGGCATCGCAGGCATTTTTATGTGCAAATCCCAAAACAGTGTTCTAAACACTTTTCCTCTTTTTAATCACTAAGGTCATTAAGTATGTAGTACCTTTTAAAAATTATTAATCATAATACCAATAATCAACCAAGGCACATGAATCTTGGAACATGAGGGTTTCTTGTTTTGTTAAGTGCCTCCTTCCACAGAAAATTAAAATAAATAGAAATAAAACCTTGAACAATCCTGACAAAACTGACATGTTCTCCATGGACAGTGATGATTGGATCAGTGTATTAGAACAAAGGAGAATTTTGATTGATTAATTTAATGAAAATAAAAATTTCACGTGAAAAGATGGAATGAAATAATAAAAACATTAAAAACCATCTGGCATTTGTTTTCTATAAGGACATCATTTGAGCCTTTACCAGGAATCTACAGCCTATTATCTGAGCAATTTACCACTGCAATTCATGCCTCTTTGCAATTTGTAAGAGAGTTTGAACATCCTTTTCACAATGTCTGTGAAGAGTGGTGAGCCTTATTTCTCAAAGGCCTTAACATTCCCTCAGGAGTTTGAAAAATAACACACTATCTCCCAATCTCCCAGATTCTTAACAAATAATTTAGAAGAGGGATGGTGTAAATGTAACAGTTCTCTTGCTGTTTGCAAAGTCTATTTTCAAAAGCACACCACTCCTGTAATCATTCCACAGTTCTCCAGATTAATACGTTTTAAAAAATGAAAGGCAGTTTCTCTCCTGGAAAATTTAATACTTCATTAGAAGCATTAATTATTCTTTCTCTATTCTGATACTCTAATTCTATACTCTAATAATATCTGTACTGTGGTGTCTGAATGACCAATTATCTCAAAATTGCTTGTAACTCAGATATGCAGAATCATACATTATTATAGTAATTTTCCTTTATAGATTGTACAGTTCTGTAATATGATGTTGTAGTCCCTCTGCTCTCATAAACATTTACCTTTTCTCCTAAAACATGTCTAGATGCAAATAAACATTTATAGACATAAACACCAAAGGTACTTGGAAATATTTGGAAATATACTTGTTTTCTGACATTATGACCAAAAAGAATTTGGGGAGGAACCAACTGATATATATGTTTCTTTAAGATGGTTTATTCATGGTAATGGTAATTTTAAAATTCATTAAATAATTTAGTGGAAATTGATATATTATATTATAATATGAAATTTCTGCCCCAAACTTTGCTTATCATAAGCAGACTGATAGCCAAGATCCAGTGATATTTAAATATGAAGAATAGGAGATTACATAAAAGTATTTTGGTTATTCTGGAAGCCAGTTTTAGTAATCTGAAGCTAATTTGCCTTATTATTTGGATCAAAATATTTTCTCTTCTGTTTTCATACAGATAAATTTTTCATATAGGTAAATTTTTTAAATTTAAGGGATTAGTACTCGAGGTTCCATTAATACTTTATAATTGAAAATTTGTTTTATAAAAATACAGTCTAATGTAAACAGTCCTAGCTACCACCCTTTGCAATGGCTGTCAAGCATTCCTTGACCATAAATATAAATGACAAACATTTTGAAATGTGGCTATTGCTACCATAGTTACAGAACTATTTTCCTATTCAGTATTCAGGTGGTTTAGAAAAAAATATAATTATGTGTGCCAGAAATGTACTAGAGGTTATACTGTCACGCATAATCAGCCTTGCAGCCTCCTGTGAATATATCAAATGACACAGCTCTGCTCTCACACCAAGGTGGGAACAAGTTGTTTAAATACAGTTCTACAACTTCCCTGAAGAGAACTAATTCATTTACAAGTATATAACCACCTGCCCAGAGTCAGAATCATCTTCTTCAGGATAAAGTAGATTAGAGAGGTCTTGCAAAGCAGAAATTGAAGATATAGTTCCAATTTCCACATTTCCAGTCTTCGTATTTTCAGATTCCATACTCTGAAGAAGAAAATAATCACAAATAAGTGTTTTATTTTTCTGTTTTATTTATTGTCATATATCTCTTCTTTCACTGGGTTACTCCATTGTCTCTTACTCTTATGTTAAAATACTTGTAAACTTCTTCAAATATATGTTTTGCTAACAGAGACCTGGGGCAGCAAGTAAACTCAAGCATTCAGCCAGCTTTACTGAAACTTCATATTCAATCTAACAAACACTTACTGAACACCTACACTAATTGTTCTTAAGTGATGCTTAAGAATCACTCAGGGGCCTTAAGATGTAGCTCAGTGGTAGAAATCTTAGCAAGTATGAGTGAGGCCCTGAGTTCAAACCCTAGTATCACACAGAATCACTTGGGAGGTTGGTTAAAATTGCAGATGCTTACAGGTTATGTACCATTATTTGGGAATGAAGCCTTTACACTATCTTTTTATCTGTCTCATATATGTTGTTTAGGCTATGTATTCCATTCAGTTAACAAGAAAAAAAATGGTTTCTTAAGAGATATGCCAAGACAACCTTTACTTATTTTGTGCTTTTGCCTCAGACAAGCCTGTACCTTTCTGGTTTATTTGGTGATGCTGTCTTAGTTACTTTTCTTGTTGCTGAGAAAAAATACCAGACATCCAAAGTTAAAGGAGGAACAATTTATTTCAGCTCACAGTTTGTAGAGGTTTTAGTTCATAGTTGGCTGGCTCCAAGGCAGGGATGCATGGCAGAAGGGTGTTGCAGAGGAGAAACAGTCCATGGCAGGGAGAAGGCAGCAAAGCAGGGAAGTAGTAAGCAACCACAGCAGTCCTCTTTCTGTCCCTTATAGTCTATCCTGACTACCCACCCTTAGGGCAGACAGCACTCACACCTGGGGTGGGGCACCCTTAATCCTGCCCATGAAACTACCCAGAACTATGCCAAAGCAGTCAGTGGACTAATTTAGAAATCATACACTCTTGATCCCAGCATCACACAATTAACCCCAGCCTCCCACACTCTAGATCTAGCCACTTCTGAAAAGCCCCACATATGACTGCATGAGGTTTTGGGGGGACATCTAGACACAAGCCATAGCAGGTGTCTAGAATAAATTGCCACTTGAGAACTCTAATGAGTTGGTTCACTGACTTTAGTGAAGGTTCACATACAATGAAATAATTATTTATCTGCTCATAATAATACCACTATATACGTCTATTGTAGAAAATCTTGGAAATAACACATTAAAAGTATAAATAAGAAAGTCAGAACTACCTACAACTTTACCATCATTATATCAGTCTTCTAAATAAATTCTGCAGGGTAGTGAATTTAGATCAGTAAAAATCTCAGGGATGTCAGACTTTAATAATCTGAATAAAGATTATATAGAGTTAGGCCTATTATTAATGATCTGGGCATAAATATGAGAATCATTTCTACACTTGTGCCGATATTTTTAAAAATATCTTTATACAATTATTTCATGGAAAACGTTCCTTTTATGCATTTATTAATTCACCCATGAATATTTTTGCATTGTGCCTAGAATGGTAACATAAAGAGATTCTCAGGCGTGTGTTGGTACTGGTACCTGTTAAAGTCAGTCTGCATGCAGATGATATATTACAAATCCTCTGTTTAATTATTATATTTTACCATTATTTTGACTTCCTTTGTTAAATATAAAACTAATCTTAGTACTTTTTGGAGCTATCAAGAGTATTAAACAAATACTAAATTGCCCTCTAGCATAGAAGCAATGTATTATAGTGGTTAATAGTAAGGATTGTGGAGTCACACTGCTTGGATTTGTACCCATCATTTATTTCTTGGGTCTGTAATTTTGAGCATATTATTTAAACTCTCTATACCTAATTTTCTTTCTCTGTAAAGTGGGGATAAAATAGTATTTATTTCTTAGAGTTGTTAACAAGGTTTAAGTAACTTAATACACATAAAAGAGCTTGGAATAATGCCTGGCACATAGTAAGCACTCTACATGTTAGCTATTATTAGTTCTTTAAAAGTTTAATTTTGCTAAGCATGAATAGCATATCTAATAATAATGTAGAATAAGTTAATGATAAAATTCATTACATTGGAAACTCATTAAGTTGGAAAAGATGAAGTAAAAGGTAATAAAACAATTTTCTCTCACTCTATGGTCTGATAGCCTGTTATGGAAACGAATAATTGACCCACATTAAATTAAACAAAGAGGCTCCTGTTTATATTTTTAAGTTCTTAGTTCATTATTGTTCATTAAACATTTACCTAACATTAAAAACAAAAATTTTATTGAAAGATTTTCTACCTCTGATGAGGAAGGAAGAATGCATCCAGGTATCAGATATAATTAGTATTTACACTTGAGATTGTATAATGAGATTTTTGAAAAAACAAACATAACAAATTTATTATATCAGCATTAACTACAAAAGTGTTTTGATGGTCAAATTATACAATATAGATGAAAAGGTTTGCTAAAATATGAAAAGCTATATGAAATATTATTATTCTCTAGCACATAGTTCCAGTACCCACAGGTACTTGATCATGAGGATTATGAGAGTTCAATGGCGGGCTGATGAGAGAAGAATAAATTGGACCAAGTAAAGGTAATCTGTAAGAAAGGTATTCAGAAGTCTCAAATATAATATCTGAGGTAGTAGTCAGAATAGCTACTCAAGTGATCTTGTCTGATTGGCAGGGACATGGCAGCAGGAGTTTCTCAACATGAGCAGCATTTTGGGGTAGAGAAGGTGAACAGTCATGGTTACAGGGAGGCATATTTAGGGCCAAGTAGGACCCTGGCTCATAGGTAGATGTACAGAAAGCAAGGTCTTGTTGAGAACTGTTGGGGAGTTTGCAGCTAGATGAAGATTCAGAATATAGTAGGACTCAAAGTTAGAGCAGGAAAAGGGAAAACAAACCAGCAACTTCATCAGTGGCTTTCTTCTGTCACCTGAGCACCTGCTATGGAGGTTATGAAGGAAGATTATGGTTTTGTGGGTACACTGGATACAGGATTTAGGAAAATAGATTAATTCTAAATCCCTGCTATTGAGTTGGGAAGGAACTTTGGGAAGTGGGGCAGTGTGGGCAGTCAGAAGCTCTATCTGTATGTAGATTGAATGTCTTCAATAACTGGAGCTGGAACACAGTAATTGATGAATACTGAATTAGACATGATTAAATTCATGTGAATGTGAAATTCATGTATTTCAAAATAGTTACCTTAGAGAGTTATACACTGATATAAAAATATGCTCTCAATGCTCAAAAGATTTTGGAATTTTATTTTCTTTTGGAATTGCCTTCATATGTATAACCAAGAAAATAAGAATCATGATATCATTCAGTTTGATTACATATCAAACTTGTTTCAGAGTGATTTTTAAATATATTTATAAATCAGAACTACTTTCAAAATATAAAGATTTGTTTCTTTGAACATATTCAAAATAATGTGCTACAGATCTCAAGACACTTCTAAAACAGTAGTTTCAAAAGTAATTTAAAGATCAACATTAGAGTAAGTAGATTAGCTTCTCAAAGTGACTACCTTGAAAGGGATTCCGCTGCTTGCAATGTATGTTTGTACATGTTAAACAAACCATTCATAACAATTCTTAGTAATATTTTATGTATTCAGGAAGCATTCATGAATTGGGCTTCAATTGGACTTCCAATTTATGCTGGCATAAAATTACAGTCTAGCACTATAACTAAATTGGAGTAGAAATATAATGATAAAATTAGCACTTTAGCAAAAATAACTTTGATTATATCAAATGTAATAGTATGTAAATAAAACATAAATCCTGACAAATTTGTTGTTCTATCTTGAGAAACGAATCATATTTTATGAATATCTAATAATGCAAAATATCAAAAGAAAAAAGAATGTGAATTTTTTGAAAAATTCTAAATTGAATGAAAATGAAGATTCTACTAGCTTTTTAGAAGTCTAATACACTAAAAATAATATAATATTTATTTTAAAACATTTATTAAAGTTCATTCGACACATTTTTAAAAAGCAAAGGAAGATACATTTGATGAACTCTGCAGTGTTTTTAGTTTCATTTGTAAATTCAATACACATCTAAGTTCATCTTGTATCTGGCAACCAAGGTCCTTCAGGATATATCCTCAGCCTAATTTTCTGCCCTTCCTTCCTATTATTCTCTTGAATGTGTTCTGCATTCTGTTAAAAGCTGAATGCTTATTAAACATAGCCTATAGTTTCCTGCTTTTGTATCTTGAAATATATTATTCTGTTTGCCTAGACTATTTGGGTAATATAAAAATGAAGATTCTGGGGCTGGGGATTTAGCTCAGTGGTTATGCTACCTGTCTTGAAAGCACAAGGACCCAAGTTCAATCCCTGGTACCAAAAAAAAAAAAAAAAAAAAAAAAAAAAAAAGAAGATTCTGGAGCCACATTCACTATATTTGAATGTGACATTACCATTTAAATTGGCCAAGAATAAATTTAAGGAAAATTCAAGTAAGAGTTTCAATGAAAGCCATATGCATTGCTAACCCTTTTATTTGAGATTTGGTTATTTGTAAAATACGTTTTCTGGGCTCTGTGTTTTTATTCCTCACATAATCTTTTGCTAAGCCAATGCCAATGGTAGTATTTTCCAGGAAGAGTTTTTGATTTTTCCCACATCAATCTGAGCCCCTAGGGTCTTCACAAAGATGTAACTAGGGTATCTGTCTTGGTAGTAGCCACAACTAGCTAAAACAACCAATACTCCAGAACTAGATCATTACCAAAACAGTGGAGCCCATTAGAGAATAAAAAAGGTTAAATTAGGATATCTTCAGACCCATGGCAGTGAAGCAATATCAGTAACCTTATAATCAAGTCAGACTCTGACTGGAATCATGGTTTCTGTTTTATTTGTCTTCACCCATAGTGTCAACAAGGATATCTCTTTGACTTTAACTAATTAGAGAAAACTAATTAAATTAAAATAGATTTTAATTGAGATTAGTAAAATTCTAAATTATTCCAAAACAAGTGATATTTTATTAATTTGAGGATATAATAAATAAAATCAGAGTAATAAAGATTCACCAAATGCTATCCTTTTGGAACTTACTGAAGTAAATAGATAAAAACATATCTCCAAGTAAAATTCTGACCATTTATAGCTGAATTACTTCAAAGTATTCAAAAATCCACTTGTAGTCTAAATGTTCAACAGTTTTCAGAAACTTTATATGGTGCCTTATTTAGCAATTCTTGGATTAAAATTCTTTTAAGGACACAAAAGTAAACATCATCTCTATTTTTTAATTAAATTATAATATACGGTATGGGCTAATTTTTAAACTTTTTTGGGGGGCGGTTTTTTTGGTGATGGTGTTGGGAATGGGACCCAGGGCCTCATGCATACCAGGCATGTGCTGTACCACTGAAATATCTTCCTCCCACCCCCCACCCCCCACCCCCCGCTACTTTTAAATTTTTTTAAGCTTTTTTTGGGCAACTATCCTCATCAACTATTTCTTGCCTATTAAAAATAATTAATGTGGGGGTTATGGGTATACTTCAGCAGAAGAGTGAATTTTTATCATATATAAGGTCCTAGGTTCAACCAAAAAAATTAATTTTCAGGGTCTTTATAATAACCAAACGGTTTCCTTTTTATGTTTTAACTTTCACTGCCTTCAAATATACCAACCCATAAGTAACTATGGAAATTTAACAAGGTTCTTATTATAAATTTAAAATATATTTAATGGAAGATATTTAATGAAAGTACCTGGATTTTTTTTTTGAGACAAGATCCTGCTATATACCTCACATTGTACTTGAACTCACTATGTAACCCAGTCTGGCAGCCTCAGCCTCCCAGATGCTGGGATTACAGGTGTGGTCCACTGCCCCTGGTGAGTCTCTTTTGATTTAATATTTCCTCTGCCTATTCTTTATTTAGCCATGTATTTATAAGGAATTTCTACTATCCCAATCCTTTTTGAAAAGTGAGGTTTTGTTTTGTTTTTTGAACAATCTCCTTATGTTGTCCCCGCTGGTTTGAACTCCTAGGCTCAAGCAAGCCTACAGACACATACCACCATATCCAACTATATTCTGTTAGAAAAGCGAGTTTATATGGAGACAAGAATCCTTAGGTTCTACAGAACTTAACCTGAACTATGAAAAGCTATACATGAGCTAACTGTGATGGTGCACGTCTGTAATTCCAGCACTCAGAGGCTGAGGCAGGAGGACTACTGCAAGTTAGAGGCCAGCCTGTGCTACATAGTGAGTTCAAGCCCAGCCTGATTACATAGAGAGATAAACACAAACAAACAAACAAACAAAACCTCCAAAAGCTATATACAGTACAACATTTCAGACAAACCATACATTTGGGAATAATATTTCTCCTGTTTTTCTGTCTCAGTCTCATATTCTATATTTAGAGTGTGGTTGAGGTGGCAAATTTTCTTTCAGCACTTTGGAATTTTCTCAAGTCAACCTCTATATTCTTTGTTCTAAATGCCTATCACAACAGGAAGCTTTTAGGAGAAATGTTCTCTACCTCTCTGGTCAAACTCACTTCCCTCCACCTTTTACTCAGATTAACTTTTTTGACCCAGTTCCCCTTTTTGAAAGGTATAATCAAATGACATACAATATTTAAATCTCCCAGCAAGCTCTTAGTGAGGCACCTTTGACAGGTAGTTGTACAAATTGTTTGTTTTGAGAGAGTCTCGCTAAGTCACTAAATTGCCCAGGCTGGGCTTGAACTTTCAGTTGTTTAGCTCAGCCTCTCAGAATTCTGGGATTACATGCAACTACCACCAAACCCGGCTATGCTGGAACTCTCAGGCTACAGGACATTGTTCATATAGCAAATGGCGTGGGGCCATTTTTTTTTTGTCTGACCATTGTTATGCCCTCCCCTCATACATCCCAACCAAGACATATTTATCAGCACAAATCATACCTGTACATTTAAAAGGTATAGGGGCAGCTCCAACTTGGAGTACTCGGATCTACCTATAAAGAAACATGGTTCACATTCTCGGACTGGTCATTTTTAATGGGAAAGGAGGACGGTTAAAGTGTGTGTGAGCTGAGAAAGCTACTTGGCTATCTTCAATACCAGTCCGTCAGCACCCATGCCTTGTATACTACAACCATCCCATCTCTCACTCACATCCCAGTGTGAGTTTTGATAAAGCAACGTCCTTCATGACTGAGGGAAATGTTCACCTCAACTTGGTGTAACTTGGGTTTTTTGGTGGCACCTCTCTGAGATCTAAGTACCTAGAGTTCTCCCCAGTTTCTCTAACAGACACAGAATCCCTTCTCGCCCCCTCCTGAGGTTTGGGTTACCTCACCTTGGTGGTCAGTTTTCGGTTTGCTGGCTGGGCTCGGAAAATAGACTGAGGAGAGCTCTGCGTCTCTCCGTCGCCCGGGTAACAACTTCGTTACCCTCCCCCAACCCCATCTCTGGGTTCCCGCTTGACTTTCCTGGCCAGTCACAGAAGAGTCAGCTTTGGAACGCTATCCGTATCAACCAATCCAAACGCGTCCAGGTCGGGGTCAACGGCTGCTCTTTCTAGCTAAGTAGGTCGACCCCATTTAAGCCTCAGTCCCGGTTAGCGTCTCTCTGACTGAGAGGAAACTTCTTTCAGTCTCGAGTAGGTCTGACCTGCCTCTTTGTTGGCTACGCAGTCTCAGAAGCCTGCCCATTTACTTTGCAAACCGGACAGTGGTAAGTTTGCACACAGGTTTTCTTTGTTTTTTGTTTTTTTAATTCCCAATTGTTGGCAGGCTTCGCTCTCTGTTCCGCCTTTTCCTTAGTGAATTCCAGATCTAAGGACTATCTCCAGCAGATGTGGAGCAGGCAAGGGCAGAAGCGTAGGGTCGAGTGGCCATGAATTGAGAAGGATTTGTTACCGCTCTGCGCTCGCTCTCTACGTCCCTCTCTGCATGACAGAGACAAGCGTTGTTCTTCTATCCAGGTCTGTGTGTGTGGGGGGGTGTACTTACGTACAGTGGGGTCGTGCTTTTCATTTTCTGCTTGGGCAAGCCTTCCTGGCCTGAAACCCCAAAGGGAACGCCAAGCTGGCTGCCAGGAGGCTCCTGTGATGCACTGGCTGGAGCTCTGCGTGGCTCCTAATCCCGGGAGAATCGTTGGACAGATGTCCTGCTTTTCCCGCCTTAGAGTGGAGAATCGCAGGCGCCCCGGCCGCTTGCCACTGCTTGGGAATTTGTATGTCTTCATGTAGGGGTAGAGCTGTGACCTTTTCCTATGAATTGCGCTGTTTGGTTTTAAACAAAGAGGAGGGAGGGAGCAATAATTACTTGGAGTATTCAGGATTGATTAGCTGAGGTTAACAGTATGCCCCACCACCACCACGAGCCTACATTAGTTGAGTATTTCAAGTGAGGAAAGATAGAATGATTTTAATGCTTACTTTCAGTTATACAGGGATTGGAGTTCGATTACAAATGCACACATTTGCTTTCCTTCTCTCTGCTACCATAGTATTCTTAACTTCCACCCCATCTGGCAGAGGCGATAGTGGAGTGTGAAGTAATTTGTTAGTATCCACAGCAAACAAAAAACGAGGGTAGAATATTTACATTATTGGCTAAAGTAAAGTTATTGGCTTTTTGACCAAATTACCTATACCGTAATTCTCATTACCATGGATGATCACAGTTACAGTGTCTTGCATTTTATTAATTATTTTTATTCAGCCTCACTGTAAAGTCTGCAAATACCCAGGCAGTGTTTTGTAGACCTTTTGGCAGTGATTAACAGAAGAAATAAATTTATATTGTGATGCCAGTATACACACACACAATATATAACTGACAAATGTTTTGAAAAATATTTCTTACTACATGCAGTATACTGTGACACTATTATATTTTTAAAATGTGGTCCAGGGGCCAGGGATTTAGCTTAGTGGTTCCAGTGGCTGCTTCGAAAGCTCAAGGTTCCGAGTTCGATCCCCCCCCCCAAAATGTAGTCCACAACCTACTAAAGAATTGTCAATCACAGTTTGAAAAGCACTGTCATTAGACCTCTGGTTTTCAAACTTTTGTATATACTTAAGTAATTCATGAAAAACACAGATTGCCTTAGCTTACTCTAGAAATTTGTTCTGGGGCGGGGGTGGGGGGCATCTGTGATGAGACTCAGTAAGGTGTGTGGTAACTATATCACACATAAGAAGTGTTTTGTACAGTGTCATTGCAAGAGTGTTCAGTAAATATTAGTTTTGTTCTTGGGAAACACATATTATTTATCTTTAAGGATAGAATCTCCTTTTCAGTGTTTGACCTGCCCCTGAAAGCTCTTGTTTCCCCAGGTTGAGGAGGTAGGGGATGGGTTCCGGATCTAAGATGAATTTTTAAGCACTTGTCTTTTATGGAGAATGTCCTGAATACAGAAAGTTAGAGATTGAACAATATAAGGATTAGAGAGATCAGTGACTTGCTGAGGGTCAGTTAGTGAATCTTCAGAGAATAGAACTCACTTGATTAAATCTAATGTTCTTGTCCATTCTACCTTGATAGTAGATCAGATCTGAAGGCAGAGGTTGAACTAGGAAGAGCTTCCCTGACTTGTCTAGCCTAGAACAAGATAACTGAATTTGACTGCTAGTTGTTTTTAAAGCAGTGAAACTTGAGAGATCTAAAAGATTAAAAAATACACTCAAAAGTTTCTGTAAGTATACAGCTATGAAAAAGGGAAACTGTTTAACTAAACCTTTTACAATATATGGAGAAACTCTTAAAACACTGGTTAAATAATTTATTAAACTGGCATTAAAAAATTAAAGATGGAAAAATTTACCCATTTCCCTACTATCATAATTGACTGTTCAGGTCTCCTCCTGTCTTTATCCATACATACCCATATTTTTACATGATTGTCATCTTTGTTTATACAAGGTTTTTGTTGTCATTCCTTTTACTTAATTCTGTTCTAGGATTTTTTCTGTTTGATAATCTTTATAGTTTGCATTAATATTGGCCTAGTATTTCATAGAGTAGGTTGGCTATCATTTACTTAATCTAACTAAACCAGTAACAGACTTATTTCTAGTTATTCCATATTATAGAAAAGTAACACTGTAATGTCGTACTTAAAATCATTTATACAACTTTTGCCTTCCATTTCACTGGGATTTAACCAAAGATTTAACAATTGTTAAAATTTTGCCAAATTTTTCTTTAGATGCTGATTTTTTTAAGAGATTAGAGATTGAACCCAGGACCTCATGCACGCTAAACATGGGCTCTAACCAGTGAACCACCCCCCACCTCAGCTCTTGAAATTTTTAAATGAACTAAAGCATTATAGGCACCTTTTTGTACCTCTTCCCAGTCTCAATTCTTTCCCACTCCAGAGATAATTGCTTTTCTGAAGTTTGTACATATTTTTCCAGTTTGTTTCTAAATTCACTGAAGAGTGGTCATAAATTATTTGTAATATATTTTGGTGTGTCTTCAAGATTTACATAAATAATATACTGTACTTACTCTTCTGCAACTTTTTATTGTCAGTATTTTTTTTGAAATTTTAAAAATGCAGGTGTTATTTCTTATTGCTGTATAGTATTCCACTGTATGACTATATCATTTTAAAAATCATACCTCTATCATGTTGAACATGTAGATTTTACCAGGTGTACAGATAGTCAAATAAATTATGCAAATATTTTATGATTCCAATTATATAAGGTACCTAGAATGGGGAAATTCATAAAGGCAAAAAGTGGAGCAGTTACCAAGGACTGAGAGAAAGGACAATGGGAAATCAGTGTTCAAGGGGTACATAGTTTCTGTTTGGGATGATGAAAAAATTTTGTAAATAGATAATGGTGACAGGTAAACAACATTGTGGATGTATTTAATGCCAATGAATATACACTTAACAATAATTAGAATGATAAATTTTGTTATTTATATTTTACTACAATAAAAAATACAAACAAGAAATGTGCTTATTTTTCAGAAGCATATACTTAATTGACTTATTTTTTGAAGAACAAGGCCTGAAAAAAAATGAAGAAATATTATTTGAAATAAAACCTTTATATTAACCAGATCTGTTGTTCTTTGTCAGATAATTACTTCTGAGATCTTTAAGTGACAACTTGGCTTAATTGTATACATGTAAAGTCTTTTACACGTACCTTGTGTAAGACTTCTCCAAGTTTTTAAAAATTAATTAATTATTTACTTACTTACTTATTTTTGCTGTACATCAAAATTTTGGGCACCATTCTTCTAAATATAGGTATACCTTTGAAGCTACCTTTTGTATTTATGTGCCTTTCCTCCTTTATTTCCTTGACTAGTTCTCTCAAATGTTTTACTCCCTTCCCAGTCTTCCAACCCTTGTTACTTCTGTTCTTTTCTTCTTGCCATGGTTTAGATCTAGAATGACCTCCAAGAGTTGGCTTTTGGAAGGTGATAGGATCATGTGGGTGTTATACTCATCAGTGGATTAGTCGATTGGTGAGTTCATAGCTGAATGTGCTCGTAGAATGTGGGGTATGTTTGGAAGAGGTATGTCACTGGAGGTGTACCTTTGGAGGGTATATCTTTCTCCCTGGCTCCTCCCTTCTCTCTGCTTTTTGGCTTCTGTGGATTGAGCAGCTTTCCTCCATTACGCCTTCCACCATACCATTTCTGCCTTGAAGTCAGCTGACTGGACTAAACCATAAGCCAAAATAAACCTCTTTTCCTTTAAGTTGTGGGTGTAGGTGTAGGGTATTTTTTTCCAGTAGCAGGAAAGTAATTAATACAGTCTCCCATATGTTCTGGCCTCTCCCTCTCCAGGGTACATCTATCCTCTTCCAGAGCAGGACCACCACCCTCTTTCTTTGAGTTTAGCACCTCCAAGATTCTCCCTTGAGTCTTCTGCCTTCCTCCCCTTGGGTCTCCCTTGTCTTTTATTTTCAAATTTTCTGACTGATTGCATCTTTCACTAACAGTGAGACCTGCTCTATAGCAATCTACAGTATTCTGAAATATCACATTTCTTTTTGTGTGGCTGAGGATTGAACTCAGGGCTCACACATACTAAGCAAACACTATCACTGAGCTATAGCGCAGTCCCACATTTGTAATATTTGGAGAATTGACTTCAGTTTGGGGATTAAAAATAACTCAGATTCTGACCTTATAGCTTTGAGAAGTTATAGTATGAAGGGGGGAAAAAGGACTTAATGTGAAAGATAATTAGTACATTATTACTGCTTTAGGTGTTTAATATTGAACTAAAAATGGTACACCATTTTCAGAAACCCTACATTTTATTTTGACATCAAATAAAATGATCACCATTATAAGTTTGATTTTTTTCATATTTCCTTCAAAATCCCTGTGCACAAGAGGCCCAAAGGGTAAATAAGGAGCATAACGGAGGACAGATATTGGAAAGTAGGAAGAACATATTCAAATGGGAAGGGGAACAAGGGAGGGGGAAAAGGAAGGGAAGGAAGGGAAAAGGAAAAAAGAATGGAAGGAAAAAATGAAAACAAAGCTTGTGTAAATGGAGAAGGGAAGAAGGATTGAAGGGAGGGAAAGGAAATGGGAAAAAAAGAAGAATTAAGATATATTATGTGCAGGTATAAATTCCCTATGATGAATGTTATCAATATGTATAACAAATATGCACTAATAAAAAATAAAGTTAAAAAACAGAATCCCTGTGCACATTTCATCTCCCTATCCATTTCTCTCTGG